CTGGAGTGCAGGTGTCATCCTCAAGTAGATTTCCTTCTGGATACAAGCCCAGGAGTGGGATTCCTGGGTCATATAATGCTAATGTGTTTTTAATGACTGTGTAGTACTTCAGTATACTGATATAGGTTAATTTGTTAAATCAGTTAATGGACATTTAGATGGATTTATAGCAAGAATTAAAAAAATCTTTAATATGGATGAATATCCTTTATAAAGTGAAATATACCTGTGATTTAGTCATTGTTGGAGACTCTTACAAAGCAGGCACTTACAGTCAAGGAAAATGACTTCTTTCAGTCTCCTTGCTCAGCTAATTCATACATGGGACACAGTCAACCATTTCAATAATTTTCCTTGGTTGTAACTGTTAGTCAATTTGCACTTTATACATGCAAACTAAGCCTATAGCTACTATTACATTTGGTGGAAGAAAGAGACCACATCTGCCAGGGTGTAGGACCAGGACGACAGAATCCCCTTCTGCAGATAAAAAGCTCTAAATTGTGGACATAATTCCTATCATGCATTTGCTTAGATACATGTTTATTCAAAGTATATTCCCTCTTCTGTGGTGGATGTTTTGAATATGCCGTAAATAGGGGTAAAAACATTTTTAGCTATTGTTAAAAAGTAGAGCCATTTGAAAAAAGAAACCATATGGGTGAAAGAATGATAATAATTTGAAAAACTGCCACTCATCTAGTCATCTGTGGATGAATGGAAATGAAGGCTGGGTTAATCCATCTGAGCGCCAGGTAGGAATCTATCACTAAAAAGCCACCACAAAGGAAGCGTGATTGCATTTAGTTACCCAATGATGCGGGCCACCGTGATCAAGAGAGTGTGTGGGCGGATGGCTGCACTTACGTGTCCGGGTTCTCTGTGATGATCCCATCTCCAGATTTCCCTGGACCCTGGATGGATTCCATCGCTGTTGAGTAGAGGACTTTCTGCATCCCAGGACGTTTAGCATCAGGCACATTTTGTGAAGTTTCCTCTTCTTTCTCTTTGAGGGAATGGTCCAAGATGTGGATTCCCAGCAAAAGACTATAGTCCATGATCTTGAAGCTTTCCAGCACCTGAGGAAGAAAAAGAACCAGGAGGCCAGTCACTCAAATGGCTCATAAGTCTCATCTGCACAGAACCAGAGAGCTCTAGATATGCAGACATGCAGCTCCAGCTTCTCTCCCAGGTGGTGGCTGATAGAGGAAAAAAATCAAAATAAAAACATTTGAAGTTATTATTAGGTCATGTGCAGTAAGGATTATCCTCATGGCTCCAAGATGGTATTTTTATGCAAATCTAGAGTAAGAACATCTTTCCTTAATACTCCATGAATGTTTCCCTAATAGCATTTACTGAATAGTTTCCATGTGCCAGGTACTAAGTGGTTCACTTGGATTCAATCCTCACAGCTCTTGAGCTAGGTACTACTACTGTCTCCATTCTACAGATGAAAACATTGAGACACAGAGAGATAAAGTAACTTGCTCAATATCACAAAACTCGTAAGTAGCATTGCTGGGATTCAAACCCAAGTAGGCAACTCCAGCATCCACAGTCTTAAGCACTAGAAGAGAGAAACCAACAATCAATGGTCTCTACAAGCTTGTACCCTCCTCAGCAGGAAGACCCAGCTGGAATGGCCTTTTGTTTGGATTCTTTTCTCAAAATTTTCATCTTGCTAGAGTTCAGTGGTCTCCTCTTCAAAGCTTATTTTTTAAAGTTAACATTTGGTTCCCTGTAGCAAATCTTTTTAAAATGTATGGTCTTGACAAAGAATAGGACTTAATGCTTAATTATCCACTCAGCAAACAGTGGGGAAGAGAAAGAATTAAAAGTAGCTGGATGCAGCCAGACAAAGAAGACAGCAATGTTCTGACATAACAATGAGATACAAGGCAGGCAGTCAGCACAGCTTCAGAGCATGGGTGGGTCTTTGAGGCTCAGGACCCTTCTTCAACAGAAGAAGGGTATTCAGGAGGAGAAACTGAAAATGGGGTATTTTCCTCTATGATAAAGTCCTTCTCCTAATAGTTTGTCTATGATTCTCCTCCACAACAGATTTTTTTTTTAATGCCTGGCATTTCTCACACGAAGCTGCTCAGGAAATCTAAATAGCCCAGAAAGTAAGACAAGCCTGTGTGGCAGAATAGCTGTCTCTGAACTGACATGATAATCTGTCGCTGTGCCCTAGTTTGGAGATGGCTTTGATGATCAGAGTCTATAGGTAATTGTTTCACCAGGGTTGACTATGTACCCAGAATTTCTTATGCTTCTCATTCTCCCTCAGTTCAAGTGCCTTTTTTTCACTCACTCACTCTTTCATTCATTTAACTGAAGCATAGTTGGTCCACAATGCTGAGCCAGTTTCTGAGGCACAGCAAAGCGACTCAGCCATACACACATATACATCTTCCTCTTCACAGCCCTCCCCACTACAAGCCATTACAAGTACTGACTGTAGCTCCCCGTGCCACACAGTAGGACTCTTCATATATAGCAGTCAGCATCTGCACCAACTGCTTTTGATCAGATGTTTATGACATACTGAGAGGGGAGGGGCCGGAGGATTCAAATACCTGCGGCTGCCACGTCCTGGATGCCTCTTAGCAGCAGGCCTTGTGAACTACAGCATACACAGTCTTTGAAAAATATGGTTATCCCTGGGTCTTATGCACCCCTGCCATCAATGAGGAAACTTTAAGTGGCTTGGAAGTGGGTATCAATTATTGCAGAGTGCTCCCCCTTCACCTTTCAGAATACTAAGTTGAGTACTTTTGGAAAGGACACAGGCAAGAGTGGGGAGTGAATCTTATTATTTAAGCAGTTTAGGCCATGAAAGTTTCTAAGAGATCAGAGAGTAGCCTGACAGCAGTGGGGAACCAGTTCCCCAATCTGCGGAGGAGTGACGCCAGGATGGGTCAGTGGTGAGCCTTTCCTATCATCTTTCCTTCCTCCTCCAGTCTTGCAGCATCAGACCCACTGGCCGGTTCTCCGTGGAGGCGCATTAGTGCCCTATTCCTTCAGAAAGCAGCACGGAGCCAGGAAGACAGTAAGGTAGGTTTGCATCAGGGTTGTCAAGGACCCAGCCTCTTAAAAGAAAACACTCACAGATATTGGATGCTTTCTTCAGACAGAAACACGTGTAGAAGGTTCTCAGCCTTCCTAATTCTCCACCACCCTGACAGCACGGCTTGGGAACAGCGCATCCCCCACCAAGAGCTTCACCAGCACTGCACAATGACCACCATCTGCAGAAGCCAGCTTTCCTGTCCTCATTTGTCAGTGCTGGCGTGTTCCTGCTTAGAGAGACTGCTGGAGAAGGACATGCAGGATACGGAGCAAACACTGCCCCTAGGCAAGTTACGTCACCTCCCTGAGCCTCAGATTCCTCCCCACTAAAATGGTGACAGTAACATTAGCTATTGCGTAGGGTGCTTATGAAAATCAAATATGGTAATGCAGGTGAAGTATTTAGAAAAAATCCTGCTACAAAGAAAGTGCTCAATTAATTTGCTAGCTACCATCACGGTGATGATGACTCATGGCGACTCAGTGCTTACATTCAAGGTGTCAGCCTGAAGTCAACACCCCTGGGGTTACACTTCTCAAAACAAAAATTCATAAAAAGCCAACAGAAATATGACTGCACTTCTAGCCTGCCTACCAGTGCCCTTTTGGCGCGTCCCAATTACCTTAAAAGTTCTGGGTTGCTGGTACCCAGTAGCACTGTTTGGACAGGAAAAGGTTGGCTGACACAGCAAATTCTGGTCAATGGGCTATAAAGTAACAGCCTTGCAATCTGCCTGAGGGAACAGTCCTGTGTTCAAAGGATAAAAATCACAGCCTTGTGCCCCGCACAGCCCAAAATGCCCACAGGAAAATGTTCCCTCCAAAGCAGTGACCTGGCTTCAAAAGCAATTTCTAATCACTCCCTGAGACCATGTTGCAAATGTTCCTAACAGGCATCCAGAGTGGTGAAGACTGAAAGGCCCTCCTGGACACCATCATATTTGTTTTATTTTTCTCTGCAAAGCATCCACATATCAATTCTGCTTGTGAATAAGCTTTAGACAATAATTTTTAAAAAATAATTTCTTATAAAATTTTTAATGCATTATTCAACCTGAACAGCTTTGTTTGCACTTGCAGTCTCCTTTCTTGCCCAAGGACAGTCCAAAGAGAACATGTGCATTTTATGAGTGATATGAAGTCAGGCTGTGGTCCAATTTTAACTACTGGACAAAGTAAGAAATGATCTCTATGTTTTCAGTGGACAAATATTAGTCTGGGTTTACCTGAAAAATATACAAACCAAAACTTTGAGAATCAACTAAGAAAAAACTACAAATACAGTTTAAACAGAGTTTATTTTTCTCTGTCCTTTTCCTGGGACCATCAGCATACCTAAAGGGGGCTGGACTGTCCTCAGGAGGACAGGCTTCTAGTGAGTGGATATACAGCAAGTGAAAGCCTTAAAAAAAAAAAGATAAATTCTACTCTTACTGTGTAGAAAGCTGAGCATGACCATTGGATTTGGGGTTAGGGAAAGTCACCAACCATAAAAAAATATTAAGGAAAAAAAGGACAAATATATAGGTATATACGTTAAATCAATTTCCCAAATTTGTGCAATGACAAGTTTGGGGAACAGATTTTAGTCATGTGCTTTGCAGATCTGCATCCATTAGGAACAAAACAGTTTTGTATTCATATCTCTCAGCTCCTTAATTAAAGGAATCAATGAGTCTGCCAAAATCTTCATTGTGAGCACTGAGAGGGTGCACCATCCTGCAACGTGACAGACGCCAGTCTAGTCACTCAGGCGCACATTTTTTCCCGGTATGTCTGCCTGACCTCACTGCTGCTGGTGGATTCTGTACCTGTGCATTTGCTATGCAAAACACAGCTGCCATGCAAACACAGGTGCTTTTCCATCCAGTGGGGCCAAGACTTGACTCCCTCACCTGTGAAAAAGCCAAAGCAGGAAGGATTCACAGATGTATATAAAACTGAAAGAAAGCTGAAATATCACAGGGCTTTTTACTGTCAGAGCCAGATTATTTTTTCTCTTCTTTCTCAAGGACTATTTTAAGTCAGTAATAATACTGGAATGTAGTTAAAAAAAAAAGTCAACGTCAAAGCAGCTGGTACAATATCCTGAAGACGTGATCAAAACTACCTGTTCCTGAAATAAAGCATATTCTCTAGGCTGTCATGGCTGGCAACTCATCAGGGATGCTCTCATTCACACCTGATTTCTGTAGATTTGGCCCCTAAGGTGGGAGATGCCCTTAGAATGACAGGCATTGCTATATCCTCTTTTCACAGCCAAAGGACATAGAGTGGCTGGTCCTCCTTCCTTTTCCATCCTCTGTACCATAGTCCTTAGCCACTGCACCCTGTCCCTCTGCTAAAAGGAGTCCAAGTGGCTGCTTGGTGGTGAAGACTCCATGCTCTGGGGCCAGGTGACCTGGTTTGACTCATTGCTCCTGCACTGGTTTGAACTGGAGCAGAATATGTATGTAATCTTTCTGGGCCTGGCATTCTCATCTGTAAAACAGAGATAATAGGGACACCTACCTCACAGAGTATCTGTAAAAACTCAGGTAATCCCTGCCAAGTCTTAGGACAGTCACTGGCATACAGAAGGCACCCAATAAATGCTAGTTCTTCTTGTCCCTGTTCTCCTCCACCTGTGGAATCCATCACCACTGACCACTCCCACTGGAATCTCCATCCATCCTCTCCCCTCACCTTCTCTTGGTTCTTTGCCTTCCTATTTGTTTTTCCTGGCCTTGTCTTCTGCACCCTAAAGATATTCACCAGAGTTTTCTCTTCAACTCTTCTCTTTCTTGACTTTTTGGTAGTGATTCATTTACTCTTTTTGTTTGGGGGGAAAAAAGTTGAAAGTCTAGTCTGTGCTAGGCACCATGGAAGTTGCCAGATTGTCAGGGGTCAGAAAAACAGACAATTATACCATTCTCAAAATTACACAAGCGCCACAGATTGGAGTAAGGTCTGGAAAGAAAAATCAGGATGCTGTGGACATACCCCACACAAGGGGGAGCTACTT